AAAAGTCAATTGCTCGACCAGCAGTAGACGGTAAACGAAATTGCGACGGTGATACTTGTACTGATGGTGACACTGGATTATCTGGAATACCACAAAGTTGATTCTATGACGGGAAGCACGCATGTGGTGTGGATTGCGAAAGTCAATTGCTCGACCAGCAGTAGACGGTAAACGAAATTGCGACGGTAATACTTGCACTGATGATGACACTGATTAAAATTTGGAATCACAAAGTTGATTCGAGAACGGAAAGCACGCATGTGGTGTGGATTGCGAAAGTCAATTGCTCGACCAGCAGTAGACGGTAAACAAAATTGCGGTAGTAATAACTGAAATAAATAATTACTTGCACTAATGATGACACTGATTAAAAAATAGAATCACAAAGTTGATTCAAAAACTGGAAACACGCCTTGTGGTGTGGATTTTGAAAGTCGATTGCTCGACCAGCAGTAGACGGTAAACAAAATTGCGGTAGTAAAACACGTGTTGAAAATCGAAAGAATCCTTGCTCCTGAGTACTGCAGATGCTTATTTCACCCAAATAAACACTCAAAAAAATTGACAAACAAATTGGATTTCATCGCCAACCATGGACCGTGGCGTCTCCGAAAATTGTCGCGCTCACAACTTCGTATATTTCATGTAATGAGCAATAATTTCACTAAATACCTTTCTTTTTAGATTTAAACTGTTTGAGTATATCAACCGCACGGACGATATAGAAGTTTTTACCATTTTTTAGGGTAATTTCACGAGAATTGGAAATTAAATAACAATTAATTATTTAAAACATTAATAAATGTTTTAGAGACAACTTAATTTATCTTGGAGTTTACAATTGTTTCTCAAAGTGCATAAAAATAGATTTGAATTTGTTTTTGTTTAAACAATTGGCATAAAATTATAAAGGAATTCCGAATACTTTGAATCAGGGCCCGACACGGACACGAAAAAAAACGAAAATTCGTGTCGTGCCCGTGCCGTGCCTTGGCATGACACGAAAAACGTTTAGTAATTCGTGCCGTGCCTTGACACGACACGAATAACGCTTGGTAATTCGTGCCGTGCCTAGGCACGACACAAATTACGTTTGGTAATGCGTTATATGCCAAGGCACGACACAAATAAAATTTTTGAAATGTGTTGTGCCAAGGCAAGTTTTAAAGGCACGCATGGAATATTGTGTAGAATCTCAAAAGCAATATTTAAGGCACGACACGATGTAGTAAGTGTAATTCGTGTCGTGCCTTGGCACGGGCACGAATTACCAAGCAAACTTTGTGTCGTGCCTTGGCACGGCACGAATTACAAATCGTACTTCGTGTCGTGCCAAGGCACGGGCACGACACGAATTTTTCGTGAAAGTCCCTGCTTTGAATACTAAGTAAACACAAGATCCGACAAAAAAACGTTTAAAAATCGATATTATACCACAAAAACACGTTAATTTATAAATATCCAAAAATGGTGTAACTTTTGGGTAGTACTGTAGAGGGTTGGGGTGGTCAAAATTTAAAGTTTATAGGTCAAATTACTCGGCAGAGAGCCCTCTATAAATCCTAGAAATTTATTTTTAACTTTTTTGAAACCCTCGCGAATGATTTTGATTTTTCAAATAATTGAAACTTTTCCCATGCATTTTACATTCCACAAGGAAGGAACTTTATAAAAGAAATGTATATTACATAAAAATATTAAAAAGTAAAATATAAAAAAGATTTACAAATACAATTTAAGAAATTAAATAATTTTATTTACTGAATAAAAATGACTGCAAACTTTTACTAACGAAATTGTTCTTCAGGCACATAATTGTCAACATTTGTTGGCAATCAATTTGAATAGGGATTGCTTTTTTCGTTAAATCGAGGAAAAATTCTTCGCTTCCCAAGACAGATTTCATGTATGGTCTGCATACAATTAAAATGATTTCTGTTTCGAGTCGTCCAATTCTCTTTATTAGTATAACTTGAAGTGTTCCATTTTCAAAATTCCTTAGATGACTCTATCTTTCTGAATTTATTACATCTTCACAGTCTTTTAACGAGCGTGGATTCTGCACAGGCACAGACTTGCGCTCTCATGGCTAGAAAAATATAAGAAAATTTGTAATTTTTAATTTTGCACAAAAAAATATATATATGCGAATATATACACGGAAAAAATCTTGGGTGACGTGCAATCCCAATCGTCGGAAAGTGGGGGAACTATAGTTTGGATGTGCTACGTTCTCAATTCGGGAAATCTACGTTCCCATGTTGGTGGCGCTGAACACCCAAGATTTGAGACTCAAAACCTTGGGACTGCAATAGCCTCATCTTGGGCGTACAGCACGCCTAAGTTGGAAATGCAGCTCCTCCAAACTAAAGTCGTATCGCATTCGTACATTTTCGGTCTACAGTTTACGATCTTTTCATCCTTTTTCAATCAAATTATGGACTTTACGGACCTATTAAAAAAAACTGACTCACAGACTTCAAGAAAATTTACTGACTTTTACGAGATTTACTGACCTAGTTCGAGCACTGCTTTTGATATTCAATTATTATCTAGAATTTTAACCGAAATTCATTTTAAAATTAATTTTTATTGGAAAATTGTACTAGAATTCAATTATTTAAATACAAAAATAAATAATTTACTTAATAATTTAATGTTTCTCAAAATTGAATTCTAATAAAAAATTTTATCAACAAAATTTTCAAACAATTGAATTTTTTGACGAATTTCAATAAAATCTTTAAGAATAATTACATTTTCCAAAGAATTCGATTAAAATTGTATTAGAAATAATTGAATCCCTGTAAAAATTTGATTATTTATTATTGAATTATTGCGAAGAAATTTATAAAAAGTTTGTAAATAATTGAATTCCTGTAAAATTTCTATTGTTTATGAAAATATTGTGATTTGTTACATTATTCATACTTACAACTCCTGTAGATTAGTATAAATTGATTTATTTGAAGATGGCTGTGATGTGCAAGCTCTGTGAAGCTCTTGCTTGAAGGCTATTTCTCGTTCTAACCGTTTGTCGGGTAAATGAATGTGGGGAACTGTATCCACAAACCGATCGTCGGAATAAAGAATGCCACGGCCATTGCAATTCTTCGATTTTTTGAATTTGCAAACAAGATACCTGAAATGATCAGAAAAATAGATTATTAAAAAAATAAAAAAAATTGAATTTCAACGATGGGTCGGCCGCTACAAAAACCGAATCTTCTGTGACTCCCTGGGCAGTGTCTCAGGGCACGGGGATTTAGAGGGATATCGAGAGAGACGAGATCCATTCCGCGGGTCCATTCCGAAGACTTCCTACTGGTGGAAGTCTGACCAAGAAGAAACCCTTCCATGGTTACGTTGGCTGTGCCATGGCGATTGAGGCGCGAGTCTCTGCCACCCAATCCTTGATGAACTCGTGTCCAGGGATGAATGATACCAGGGTTACCAAATTCATCGGGTTCTTCCGTGGGGGGGGGGGGGTTTGGACGGAAAACGACCATCGCTGAGCATTACTTAGCTCTTGTAAAGTTCGGGAACGGTTGTGTTACAGGAGGGGCCCGTCCTTGTAGTGGGGCTCGAATGGAGGTATCTTAAACGAGACTCCGATATACCAGGCGAACTCTCGGATGTATTTTAGCCTTATCTTTGAATAGAGGCTCTTTAAAGACCTTCTTTCCTCTTTTCTCGTGGGACCAAAAATGGATACTACAAACACAAACACACAAAACAAAAACTCTGAACATGCGAGTATTAAAGAGCCCTCTTTGGGGGATCTCAATGCTGGTATGGGGACTACGCTTGGAGCTGGGGTGGGGACCACAGGGGACCCAACTTTGCAACAAGTAGATAGGGTACAAAAACACTTGGGTAACCTTGTCCTTAGGGGCAAGAAACCAAGTGGGGCTGAAATAAGGAGGAGAAGGCGGGATCGAACTCGGGACTCTATGAGGACCGGATCGAATACCGCTGGCACTTCTCAGGACACTACTGGGGAGGGCTGACAAAAAGACAACAGGACTCGGACGAGGCTTCCCCTAATACTAGAATGCTGTCAAAAAGGTTAAGGGGCCAACAAGGGGGAACCTTATCGTTTGTGGAAATTACTAGATCGTCATTAGCCGAGGCGATCGTTGCGAACGGTTATCCGAGGGTCTTGATGACGTTGGCTAATCTGGACCAATTTAGGGTAGCAATTCATTGTGAGATAGAGGGGGACGCAGTAAGACCCTATCCTCACTTTGGAGAGGTTCGCCTCACTAGGGGAGCGATCCTGGTAGAGTGCCTGGACTCAGAATCTAGGGAATGGCTAAATAGCCGTATACCTAGGTTTAGTCAGGCGTTAGGGGGTCTTACCATTAAGGTGGTAGATCCGGCACAGCTGATCAAGCTGTTAAGGCTTGTGGCTTTGGTACCTGGGGTGCTATTCTGTAACTTCACTTCACATTCACTTCACTTTCACTTCACTTTCACTTCACATTCACTTCACATTCACTTCACATTCACTTCGCATTCACTTCACTTTCACTTCACATTCACTTCACATTCACTCCACATTCACTTTACATTCACTTCACATTCACTTCACTTTCACTCCACATTCACTTCGCATTTACTTTACTTTTACTTCACATTCACTTCACATTGAAAGTGAATGTGAAGTGAATGTGAAGTGAATGTGGAGTGAAAGTGAAGTGAATGTGAAGTGAATGTGAAGTGAATGTGAAGTGAATGTGGAGTGAAAGTGAAGTGAATGTGAAGTGAATGTAAAGTGAAGTTACAGAATAGCACCCCTGGTCCTAGGGTGAACCAGGCTTCAATCCTTAAAAACCTCGGTAGACAAAATACCGGGGTGGATACAAGCCCGGCAGTTGAAACTGTGTTTTGGACTCGGCCAAATCACTCTAAGAGTGACGAGGCAAGGTACTGACACAGCTGCTGGGCAGAGTACCCAGGGGGGGACGCGACTGAGGAGACCGTGAATCAGCCTTAAAATGGCTACTTCTGAGATTCATTGTACGCAGATTAATTTGCATCATTGTAAAGGCGCTTCGGCGATTTTAGCCAAGAGCTTGACAAAGATGCAGACAGCTTTTGCCTTTATTCAAGAACCTTGGGTTTTCAAGGGGAGAATTAGAGGTCTGAACGGCTGTGGGAAGCTAGTTAGTTCACCACAGGAACCAGTTCCAAGGGCGTGTCTGATCTATAAAGGTCTAGACGCCTTTTCTCTTTTGGAATTTAACAACTAGGGACTCAGCTGTAGTTAAAGCTAAGTATCTGGAAAAAAACGGAAATAAAAGGGAGGTAGTAATAGCGTCGGCTTACTTTCCGGGATCAGGGGATGAACCTGCACCACCTACAGAGGTGGAAAAGTTGGTAGATTACTGTCAACAGCAAGGTCTCCCTTTGATAAAAGGTTGTGATGCTAATGCGCACCATGTCGTATGGGGCAGCACTGACATTAACGACAGAGGCAGAAGACTTTTAGATTTTCTGATAGATACAGATTTAGATATTTTAAATCAGGGTAATGAGGCGACTTTTGTTACTGTTAACAGAAAAGAGGTGTTGGATATTACGATCTGTTCCAAGTCTTTGTGTGATGGCGTGAGGGACTGGAGGGTGTCTAATGAAGATTCCCTCTTGGACCACAGGCCTATAACGTTTAGATTGGAATCGAAGGATCAGGAACAGGAGTGAGGACGTAAACCCTAAAGTACTGACTGGGCTTCATATATTGAAGACCTCAAGACCTCCATGGCATGCTTCCCCACTTCGTATGAAACGCGGGAGGAGTTGGAGCTTGCAGCGGAATATCTGCGAGATTCTATTATCTGCTCCTTTAAAAGAAACTGTGTAGTTAAGAAAATGGGCTTCAATGGGGGTAGTAAATGGTGGACCCCCGTTTGGAGGAACATAGAAAAACAGTAATAAAGCTTTTTAATAAAGCCAAGAAACGTAGGAATCAGCGAGCATGGGATGAATCGATTCTTACAAGAGAGAAGTAGAGAGGGCAAGGGGTGTCAGCTGGAGAAGTTTTTGCGAGGGAATCGAGAGGGTACCAGAAGCATTAAGACTTCATAAAGTACTAGCTCGAGACCCAATGGCAAAATTAACTACTATTAAGCTGCCTTATGGGCACTATGCCCAGGATAAAAGGGAGTGTCTAAAGTACCTGATGGAGGTAAACTTCCTGGACTTTAGAGAAGATTTGGAGAACAGCCACGGCATAGGACCAGGTAGGAACCGAGGATATCGGGAACATTGGAAACTAGCAGCCAGGGTTGTAACTCCGGAAGGGATTGATTGGGCAATAAGCACTTTCAAACCATTTAAGGCTTCAGGGGGGACGTTATATATCCGGTTCTTTTGCAAAAGGAATTAGAGTGTATTAGAGTACCCCTGTGTAAAATTATGAGAGCGTTACACACCGGAGTCTTGGAAAAAGACGAGGGTTGTGTTTATTCTGAAGGTCGGTCGGTCAGGGTATACTGCGGCGAAGGACTTTCAGCCAATCAGTCTAACTTCCTTTATATTAAAGACGTTAGAGAAGCTGATGGATAATTTTATTAGACAGGAATGTCTTAGAGATCATCCCCTACATCAGGGACAGCATGCATATTGAGCAGGCTTCTCAGTAGAAACAGCCCTCCATTCGTCAGTAGGTAGAATGGAGGGACAAATCAGCAGTGGTGGCTATGCAGTTGGTACCTTTTTTATATCGAAGGTGCCTTCCCTAACACCTCTAGCAAAGCTATCTGTAGGGCAGCCAGGAAGCGAGGTGTGCCCAAACCGCTAATTAAGTGGATCGACAGCATGCTTCGCGAAGGGCCCTTGAAGCGGAGTATGGTGAGGCTAAGGTAACAGGCTTTGTCTCAAAAGGGTGCCCACAAGGAGGAGTCCTCTCTCCTTTATTGTGGTGCTTAGTGGCAGATGAGTTAACCCTTTAACGCCCAAATGGACAAAATTTTGGCATGAAGTTTGAGGACTTATTTCGGTACATAAAAATCAATTAAAAAATTCACGAATCATCATTAATGATTTTTATAAAAAAATTTCGATTTTTTTCAAATTTTTGTTTAATTTTCAATTTTTTCTACTATGAAATAGCGGAAAAATAATTCCAAATGTTAGAAATAACGTGACATAGATATATAACCTAGAAGATAGGACTATAGAGAAAATTAAAAATTAAAATGGCGGCTTAAAAATGGAGTTTGAAGTTCAAATTTTTTTCAAAATTTGATTCGAAAGTACGAAATTGTTAAAAGTGTTTAGATCAGATTAAAATTTGTTACTCGGGGGTTTTAGGGGTTGCTGATCACGAATCTGAAGTGCAATTTTAAAAATTAAAAATGGCGGATTCAATATGGCGGACAATTTTTTTTAAAAACTCATTAACTTTGCTTGAAACTTGTTACTCAAGGGTTTTTGGGGTCGCTGATTATAAATCTAAAATCCAATTTTTAAAATTCAAAATGGCGGATTCAATATGTTTGACAAATTTTTAAAAACTCATTAGATTAGCTTTAAATTTGTTACTCGGGGGTTTTAGGGGTGGCTGATCACGAATCTGGAGTCCATTTTTCAAAATTTGAAATGGCGGATCCAATATGGCTGAAAATTTTTCTAAAAATTTATTAGATTTGCTTGAAACTTATCACTCGGGGGTTTTTGGGGTCGCTGATTACGAATATAATGTCCAATTTTTTAAATTAAACATGGCTGCTTCAATATGACAGACGAATTTTCAGTTGAAATTCGATAATCACGTTCTTTAGCCATTAAAATACTTAAAATATTTTTAATGTTTCCCAACTTTTACCACGTGGAGGTAAACTTGAACTGTAAATTAAATAAAAACTTTAAATCATTTAAAAAAATAAATAAATAAATAATTAATAAATTAAATATATATGGGGTATTCTCTGCAAAACGGACCCCCCCTCTGCCCAGAAAGGGTTTAAAAATAAAAGACCATTCTTTTTGAAAAATTACAGCTTGGAATATGTAGTTACTTTTGCCGTATGGCTTTTTTTAATTAAAAATTTTTATTAGATAGTATAGCACTATAAATAAATAAATGCTAACAAAAAAAAAATAAATTAACTGCTTCAGAATTTTCAAATTTGACCCGATTTGCTCAAAACTTGTTACTCGGAGTTTTTTGGGGTAGCTGATTACGAATCTGAAGTAGCTTTTTAGAAATTCAAAATGGCGGATCCAATATGGCGGACTAATATTTAAATTTGATCAGATTCGTTTAAAACTTGTTACTCAGGGGTTTTTAGGGTCGCTGATTACGATTCCGAAGTTACTTTTTAAAAATTCAAAATGGCGGATCCAATATGGCGGACAAAAATTTTTAAAATTTGACCAGATTCGCTCAAAACGTGTTAGTCGGAGGTTTTCGGGGTCGCTGATTACGAATATAATGTCCAATTTTTGAAATTAAACATGGCTGCTTTAATATGACAAACGAATTTTCAGTTGAAATTTGATAATCACGTTCTTTAGCCATTAAAATACTTAAAATATTTTAAATGTTTCCCAACTTTCACCACGTAGAGGTAAACTTGAACTGTAAATTAAATAAAAACTTTAAATATTTTAAAAAATAAATAAATAAATAATTAATAAATTGAATAGGGGAGAGGGCCCCAAGATGGACATTTCCTATAAAATTTTTGTTTAAAGTGACAGCATCTTCTCAATTTTGTTATTTTTGTTGTTTGTATAGACGAAGATTTTTATGCATATTTGAAAAATAAAACCAGTTTTTTTTCTACTGCGCATATCACCTGAATTTTTGGTCAAAAAAAGTTTTATTTCCGATTTTTCTCAAGTCGATTAAGTTATTTAAATTTTTGATTTTAAATAGGTATTTATCGTTATAATATTATTTATTTATCATATAATAATATTCTAAAATGATTTTATTAATATTTTGTTTGTATAAAATTTTTTTCTAGGTTTCAAAAAATGGTGTCATTTACCCTAAGATGGACACTTTCGAGACCCTAAGATGGACACCACTTTTCAATGTATTTATTTTCATGCTTTCGATTACACATTTTTTACATAATTTTGTAAGCCTCGTAATTAAGATTTTTTATTTTTACTGCTATGGAATGTAGAGCTATCGATAGAGAATTCGATATATCGATATATCTTAACTTGTCAAATTAAAGTTAAATAGGTTATTTTTTTATTCTCAAGTTATAAAATTAAGATTTTTAATAATGTTATTCCTAGTAAATAGAATAAAATGATTAAACATTAGTTTAAAAATTAATACAGGATGTTTATCTTTAATTTACTACACTTTAAAGTGATTTTTAAGAAGGTGTCCATCTTGGGGCCACTTTTTTTTTGTTTAAAAATTTTAACAGTTAGAAAAAATGCTATAAAAAATGTTTAAGTTCAAAATAAAATTTTATCTCAGTGGCCATAAATTACCTAATAAATTGTACATTCATTTAGTATAAAACATTTTAACATATCTTATTCGGTTTGGATTTTAGAGCCATCAATCGAAGAGGTGTCCATCTTGGGGCCGTTTCCCCTATATATATATATATATAGCCCTCTCCCCTATTTAATTTATTAATTATTTATTTATTTATTTTTTAAAATATTTAAAGTTTTTATTTAATTTACAGTTCAAGTTTACCTCCACGTGGTGAAAGTTGGGAAACATTTAAAATATTTTAAGTATTTTAATGGCTAAAGAACGTGATTATCAAATTTCAACTGATAATTCGTTTGTCATATTAAAGCAGCCATGTTTAATTTCAAAAAAAAAAGAAACAAGAGTAAAAATACAAAAACCTGATTTTTTTGTTATTGTACAAATTAAAATAACGAAAACCATAATTTTTTTATTTAGAAAAGTTGACAGTTTCTTTGACAACTGTTAACAGTCAAATTTTAAATTTAACAACATATTCGTAATCAGCGACTTCGAAAACCCTTACAAACATGTATCACTTATTTATAGCTATTGTTGCTATTTAGAAAACTTAGATTATTTTTTCTATGTTTGGGGAGTTTGTTATTAATTTATATGAACAATTATTCAAAAAATTTTTTCATTACTTGTATGTTTTTCATTTTAATACTGTGATCCACACAGAAGAAACTAAGCAAAACAAGATTAAAAAATATTAATATTTAAAAAAGTTACAAGGGTTTTTGTATAAGTTAAACTGTTGTTTTCTCGAAAACTTGTTTTCGCACGTAAGGTCCCTTTACATAGACTAGGTCACACATAAACACATAAGTTTTTTAATTTTTACAATTTGATATAATGGAATCAAGTTTGCAAATCAGAACTTGCGACATGCATTTAAAATGTCTAAATTCTAATTATTTGTAAAATCTCAAATCCATGTTAGAAATCAGTTGTCTTTACGTATTTAAAAGCAAATATAAATGGATTTACTTTAATTTACACAGATTTTTTATTTTTTAATTGGCAGATTCTAAATATCCAAATCATATTTCTCTTGAGAATTAAATATAAACAAAAAGTAATTTATTTATAAATATAAATTGCAATAAAAGTAATATAATAAATATTTGTGCGGTGCAATAAAATTAAAAAATATTTCAATATTTTTAGATGTCGTGCATTCGGAATCAATACAATTTAACTAAAATCGTCTTATATCGTTTTTTCACAGCAAAATTTAAAATTA